TAAACTTCTGCAAAGACTGAATGGGTAAGGAGTTTCAGAGATAGAGTCATGTGAGTGCTCGTCACTTTAGGACTGGGCAGATGGATTACAACAGTGGTTTCTGTGTTGCCGCAGTCATCTCTCCTCCTCCACCCCCTCCCACACACACACCTTGGTGTCCAGCACCGTGGATCCGAGATAATAATAATCCTTACATTTGATACAGCGCCTTTTAACGCCTTCGAAAATAGTCAGGAATATGCCGTAAAAGTGAATTGACTGTACATTTTGTGGGTGAAACGCGGCAGCCAATTGCGCACAGCAGTGTCCCACAAACAGCTGTGGATTGGCAGTGACCAAATTATTATTTTTTTAAAAAAATACCTTTTTTGAAGGGATTATTGTCTGCGGAAAAGCCATCCGCCAATCGACTAACAACCGGTTCCAACTTACTGCTAGGTAAACAGAGGCGTTTGGAGTAAGGAAACTTGCCCAACACAAGTCGTTGTTGTTGATTTGAATTGTATTCCTGGGAAAATAATGAGGATGAGAAGGAGGGAGTTGGTTGTGGGGGGAAGAGGGAGAGGGAGAGAAAGCTCCTACTTCAGCACCAAATTGTATTGATCCAGTGTGAGTCGTACCTATTTGCCTTTCACGTTCACGCATGAAAAAGCATTGAAAATAGTCAGGAGCTCAGCATCGTATGTAAATCTGACACTAAACTCTGAAACAAAGCGATTTCCCCTCTAGTGTAGGCTTTTGTATGTTTGTATATGTCTATATGTGTTTATGTATGAGAATGTATGTAGGATGTGTGTATGTATATATGCGTGTGTGTGTATACGTTTGTGTTTATGTGTGTGTTTATGTGTGTGTATATGTGTGTGTATGTGTGTAGGTCTATATGTGCGTGGGTGTATGTATATGTGTGTGTTTATGTGTGTGTATATGTGTGTAGGTGTATATGCACATGTGTGTATATGCGTGTTTATATGTGTGTGTATATGCGTGTGTTTATGTGTGTGTGTGTGTATGTGTATATAAAAATACAATTGGAGGCTGACTATGAACTGTACAAATCAATTGAACAAAATAAACTCCCTCTCCCCACACCCTCCTCTCTCCCCGCCCACATCTCTCTCTCCCCCACCCCCTCTCTCACCCCCATCCCCCCTCTCTCCCCAACCCTCCCCTTCTCTCCCCAACCACCCCCTCTCTCTCCCCCACCCACCTTCTCTCTCTCCCCAATCCCCCCTTCTCTCTCCCCAACCCCACTCTCTCTCCCCAATCCCCCCTCTCTCCCCCAAACCCCCCGTCTCTCTCCCCCAAACCCCCGCTCTCTCTCCCCAAACCCGCCGTCTCTCTCCCCCAAACCCCCCCTTTCTCTCCCTCTTGTATGTGTATGTAGTGTCCATGTGTGTACTTGTATATCTGTGTGTATACTTGTATGTCTGTTTTGCACAACGACAACAACAATAAGATTGCATTTATAGAGCACCTTTCACGTCGGGAGGACATCCCAAGGCGCTGCACAGTTGGGTCAGGACCCGAGCATTGGGGAGAAATGGTCAGGGTGAGGGGAGGGAAGGGAGGGAGTGAGGAGGGGGTAGAGAGTCGAGAGGGGAGCTGAAGGCTGAAGGTCAAAGAGAAAGGTCTTGAGACCGGCCTTGAAGGAGGAAAGGGAGGAGGCGGCGAAGGCACTGGGGATGGAGTTCCAGAGCCTCGGGGCTGAGAGGCTGAAGGCCACCGATGGTAGGGCGGTTGGGGCGGGGGATGTGGAGCAGACCGGAGCCAGAGGAACGGAGGGTACGGGCAGGTAGGGAGGGGGATAGTAGGTCGGAGAGGTAGGAGGGAACGAGGCCGTGAATGGCCTTGTAGGTGAGGATGAGGATCTTGAGTTCAAATTGTATTTGTATGTCTGTGTGTGTGTGTTTGTGGTTTGATCCACACAGAAATAAAATATATTGTGTCTCCATCAAAACCCCGGAGGTTGTATTCTGCTGTAAATAAAACCATTCCCTCTCCCCAAACCCCTTCGTTCTCTCTCCCTTTTCGCTCTTCCACCTTCTCTCTCTGCCTTTCCCTACTCTCACCACTCCCCCACTCCCTTCCCCTCTCTCCCCCTCCCTCCCCCATTCCCCATCCTCATCTCTCCCCCCATTACCCCTCCTATCCCCCTCATTCCCCCCCTCCGCCCATTCCTCCCTCTTCCCCATCCCCCCAATTCCCCCCCTCTCCCCAGTTTGTCGGATCACACAACACACATAACAGACACAGACACCCCATCACCCACCCATTGCCCCCAAACCTAGCCCTGTGTGCTCTGTGCTGTGTGCCCCGTGCTGCCCTGCCCCGTGTGCCCTGTACCCCGTGCGCCTTGTACCCTGTGCTGTGTGCCCTGTGTGCCCTGCCCTGTGTGCTCTGTGCTGTGTGCTCTGTGCCCTGTACCCTGTGCTGTGTGCCCTGTGCTGTGTGCCCTGTGTGCCCTGTACCATGTGCCCTGTGCGCCCTGATTGCCCTGTGCCCCCTGTGCTGTGTGCCCTGTGCTGTGTGCCCTGTGCCACCTGTGTGCCCTGTGCTGTGTGCCCTGTGCTGTGTGCCCCTGTGTGCCCTGTGTGGTGTGCCCTGTGCCCCCTGTACCCTGTGCCCCCTGTGCCCTATGCTGTGTGCCCTGTGCCCCCTGTGTGCCCCCTGTACCCTGTGCCCCCTGTGCCCTATGCTGTGTGCCCTGTGCCCCCTGTGTGCCCTATGCTGTGTGCCCTGTGCCCTCTGTGCCCTATGCTGTGTGCCCTGTGCCCCCTGTACCCTGTGCCCCCTATGCCCTATGCTGTGCCCCATATGCCCTGTGCCCTATGCTGTGCCCCCTGTGCCCTATGCTGTGCCCGCTGTGCCCTATGCTGTGCCCCCTGTGTGCCCTATGCTGTGTGCCCTGTGCCCCCTGTGCCCTATGCTGTGCCCCCCTGTGCCCTATGCTGTGCCCCCTGTGTGCCCTATGCTGTGCCCCCTGTGTGCCATGTGCCCCCTATGCCCCCCTGTGCCCTATGCTGTGCCCCCTGTGCCCCCTGTACCCTGTGCCCCCCTATGCCCTATGCTGTGTGCCCTGTGCCCCCTGTGCCCTATGCTGTGCCCCCTGTGCCCCCTGTGTGCCCTATGCTGTGTGCCCTGTGCCCTATGCTGTGCCCCCTGTGCCCTATGCTGTGCCCCCTGTGCCCCCTGTGTGCCCTATGCTGTGTGCCCTGTGCCCCCTGTGTGCCCCTGTGCCCTATGCTGTGCCCCCTGTGTGCCCTATGCTGTGCCCCCTGTGTGCCCCCTGTGCCCGTGTGCCCTATGCTGTGTGCCCTGTGCCCCCTGTGCCCCCTATGCCCTGTGCCCTATGCTGTGCCCCTGTGTGCCCTATGCTGTGCCCCTGTGTGCCCTGTGCCCCTGTGTGCCCTATGCTGTGTGCCCTGTGCCCCCTGTGTGCCCCTGTGCCCTATGCTGTGCCCCCTGTGTGCCCTATGCTGTGCCCCTGTGTGCCCCTGTGCCCCCTGTGCCCCCTGTGTGCCCAGCAGGGGCTCTGCCAGTTGTCTGGGGCTTTTTTTTGGCTGTTGCAGATTGACAGCCTCGAGAATAGAAAGTGGCTGCATTTGACGTAAAGGCTGAATAGGGTTACCATAGAGACAGGATCGGGGGGGGGGGGGGGGGGGAGAGGAGAGAGAGGAGAGAGAGAGAGGGAGAGGGAGGGAGGAGGGGAGGAGAGGACTCCACCCCCGGCACAGATCACCAGCATTTATACGTCAATATGCGTCAGCCCCGGATACTCTGATGCTGTGGTGGAGTCACTCAGATATTTGCACTTTTGTTTTTCCTTTGTTGTATACTACATCGGGGGCTGATCCCCCCTTTGCTTTCTGTTTCCCCCCTCTCCCCCCCTCCCCCCCCCCCCAACCCCCCATCCCCTCTCTCCTCTCTCTCTCTCCTTCCTTCCTTCCCCCTCTCTCTCTCTCTCTCCTTTCACTCTCTCTCTCTCTCTCTCTCCCTCCATCCATTCATCCATCCATCCAATTTTCTGGGGGGAAAGACTAATCCAGATTTTTTTTTTGCTAAATATATATTTTGCAATTATTATTTGTGGTGGTGTGTGTGTGGGGGGAGAGGGGGAGAGGGGGAAATTTTGTTTATATCTAAAAAAAATGTAAAATGTTGAGGGGGTAGAAAAGGCACAGGAGGAGCTTTATTGGGATTTTTTTAAGGATATTATTTAATTTATTTGCGGAGTGAGTGAGTGAGTGTGTCCTGTGTGTGTGTGTGTTGTGTGTGTGTTGTGTGTGTGTCCTGTGTGTGTGTGTGAGTGAGTGAGTTTGTGTGAGTGTCTCTGTGTGTGTTCCCTGTGTGAGTGTGTGTGAGTGAGTGTCTGTCTGTGTGTGTTCCCTGTGAGTGTGTGAGTGTGTTCCCTGTGTGTGTGTTCCCTGTGAGTGTGTGTGAGTGTGTGTGTGAGTGTGTTCCCTGTGAGTGTGAGTGAGTGTGTTCCCTGTGTGTGAGTGTGTGAGTGTGTTCCCTGTGTGTGAGTGTGTGAGTGTGTTCCCTGTGTGTGAGTGTGTGAGTGTGTTCCCTGTGTGTGAGTGTGTGAGTGTGTTCCCTGTGTGTGTGTGTGAGTGTGTTCCCTGTGTGTGAGTGTGTGTGAGTGTGTTCCCTGTGTGTGAGTGTGTGAGTGTGTTCCCTGTGTGTGAGTGTGAGTGTGTTCCCTGTGTGTGAGTGTGAGTGTGTTCCCTGTGTGTGTGTGAGTGTGTTCCTGGTGTGAGTGTATGAGTGTGTGAGTGTGAGTGTGTTCCTGGTGTGAGTGTATGAGTGTGTGAGTGTGTTCCTGGTGTGAGTGTGTGTGTGTGAGTGTGAGTGAGTGAGTGTGTTCCTGGTGTGAGTGTATGAGTGTGTGAGTGTGAGTGTATGAGTGTGTTCCCTGTGTGTGTGAGTGTGTTCCTGGTGTGAGTGTGAGTGTGTGAGTGTGAGTGTGAGTGTGTGTGTGTGAGTGTGTTCCCGGTGTGAGTGTGAGTGAGTGAGTGTGTTCCCGGTGACCCAGTGCCCACACTATGGTGATGGCGGATTGCAGCGCTAATGCACTTCGCGCTCCGGTCCGAGTGGGGTTTTACGATATAGAACGCACTTTGGGGAAAGGGAACTTCGCGGTCGTGAAATTGGGGACTCATCGGATCACCAGAACTCAGGTCAGTGCCGTCACCGCTGTTTGTGGGGATTTACAGCAAAAAGAGCGAAGGAACTGTGTGTGAGACCCCGAAACACACACAACACACACACAGGACACACACACACAGGACACACACAACACACACACACAGGACACACACACACACATAGGACACACACACACAACACACACAGGACACACACACACAACACACACAGGACACACACACACAGGACACACACACAGGACACACAGGACACACACACACACAGGACACACACAGGACACACACACACAGCACACACACACAACACACACAGGACACACACACAGGACACACACACACAACACACAGGACATACACACACAGGACATACACACACAGGACATACACACACAGGACATACACACACACAGGACACACACACACACACACACAGGACACACACAACACACACACACAGGACACACACACACAACACACACACACAGGACACACACACACAACACACACACACAGGACACACACAGGACACACACAACACACACACACCCACACACACACACAGGACACACACACACAACCACACACACAGGACACACACAACACACACACAGGACACACACACACACACAGGACACACACACAACACCACACACACAGGGCACAGGCGCTGTGCAAAGTGAATGTGACCATTTAACCCACTTCCCCCCACTCCCCCCCTCACCCCACTGCCCCCACACTCCCCCCCACTGCCCCACACTCACCCCCACTGCCCCCCTCACCCCCACTGCCCCTCACCCCCCCCCCACTGCCCCCACACTCCCCCCCCCCACTGCCCCCACACTCCCCCCCCCACTGCCCCTACACTCCCCCCTCACCCCCCTGCCCCACACTCCCCCCCACTGCCCCCACACTCCCCCCTGCCCCACACTCCCCACCACTGCCCCACACTCCCCCCACTGCCCCACACTCTCCCCCCACTGCCCCCACTCTCCCCCACTGCCCCCACTCTCCCCATTGCCCCACACTCTCCCCACTGCCCCACACTCTCCCCACTGCCCCCACACTCTCCCCACTGCCCCCACACTCCCCCACACTCTCCCCACTGCCCCCACACTCTCCCCACTGCACCCACACTCCCCCACACTCTCCCCTCTCCCACCACTCTCCCCCCTCCCCCTCTCCCCCACTTCACTTTCAAGTGTAAAATAGCTTTGGTGTTAAACTTTCGCAGCTTCAAAGGTTGTGCAGTGTTTGTTGAGGGGTAAATTGATTTAAATTTGAAAAAAGTGTGTGTGTGTTAGTAGGACTGTAGCAAGTCTACTTTCTTTAACTATATATATAATATATATATCATAATAATAATCCTTGCATTTGATATAAGGCTTTATCACGTCGTCGAGACGTCTCAAAGTGCTTCACAGGATACACTGGAAAGTGAATTGACTGTATATTTTGTGGATGAGTATATATATAAAAAAAATTCTGGCAATGGAGTTCCAGAGTCAGGCTTTCACAAACATCCTTTCAAACCGTATTTCTTGCCCCCCGACTGGAATAATAGTCCTCTTTGGAATATTAATAGTGCTTTGACTGTTATCATATCTTTGCTATTAGCTTTTTTTGGCGTAAGTGTGTTTCACGTCTCTCCTCGTGGGGCCTTTTTATGTGTGTGTTTGTTTATCTAACATCATGAGAATGCAAACACATGCAACATTATTGAAACCGTTTGCTACAGTACTAAATAGTTTGGGATTCGGTGTTTTCAATGCCGCGCTATTGTAGCTCATGTTATTATTGTTGATTGTTGCAATGTTTCTAATTGAAATCCATTGATGTCCATTTCAAAGCCATTTTCACATCAAAATCTCCAAATAACTTTTATTTTGGAATTTGCTTTTTGTTATTGTGTCCGTTTTGTAGTTATATTAATAATAATAATCCTCACATTTGATACAGCGCCTTATCACGGCGTCGAGACGTCTCAAAGCGCTTCACAGAATATACTGTAAAATAGGGTGACTGTATTTTGTGGGCGAAACAGTGACTGACTTTGAAAAAACGAAAAACAAAATGCAAAGGATTAGTTTATTTATTATTATTCCCTTCGTTTCTTAGTTAGAGGAGGAATGATATTTTTATTTTCCAATTTTGACTTCGCTTAGAATTTTATTTCTTTGTTTTTTTTAAACAAAAAACCCCGCAAAAAGAGTTGTGATTCATTTTCTGAAGATTTTAGGACACAAGTAAACTTTGGAATAAATCACAGTGTAACAGGGAAGAGAGAGCGACTGAGAGAGTGAGAAAGAGAATTTGTTAAACTGTTTAATTTCAGATTTTAGTGTTTGTTACAAATGATCCACGTTTTGATGCCAAACTGTACATTTTCGGTCAAATTGCAACCTTTATCCAGTTCCATAAATTATGTTAATAATAATCCTCGCATTTGATACAGGGCCTTATCACGTCGTTGAGACGTCTCAAAGTGCTTCACGGGATGTAGTGTAAAGTGGAGTGACTGTGCATTTTATGGATGAAAGTTAACAACACAGGTCAATAGAGAAAAGGTCTTTTTAACTGAAATCTAATGTATAAAGTTTGTTAATGTTGTGCTGCTGCTCGCTACCTTTGCTTGAGGAAAAAATTCACTTATTTAATGCTTCTTTGGTTAATTTTTTTAAATGAAAAACAGGCGTTGTTAGAGATATTATATTAACTTTGGAGCTTGCGGATTAAGTTACTGATGGGCATAAGGCCAGCTATGAACTGCCTTACCTGTGTGATTGTCTCTTGACTAGTGTACTAACTCTTAATAATGATAACAATAATCTTTACATCATTTAATGTGGAGCCTTATCACGTCGTTGAGATGTCTAAATATATTGTAAAGTGTAGTGACTGTATTTGTGGGTGAAATGCAGCAGCCAATTGCGCACAGCAAACCGTGGTGGATTGAGTGATCAGATGTTTTTTGAAGCGATTGTGACCCCTGGAAAGCGATCCGCCAATCGACCGACAACTGGGTTCCTACTTACTGCTGAGTAAACAGAGGCGCGTTTAAAGTGCAGTTCGGATGAGGAATCGATCCCCTTTCCTGACATCTCGCCCCCAAAACCCCCATTCACTGAGCACCAAATGCAAACAGAAAGGCAGAATTTAAAAAAATAATATGAAAATCCAAACTAAAATCTTGGAAATTAGATACCTCTGACTCATTTCTCCTTTCCCTCCCTCCCTCCCTCCCTCCCTCCCTCCCTCCCTCCCTCTCTCTCTCTCTCTCTCTCTCTCGCCAAGTAAAAATGAAAAGTTGTCAACTTTATTAACAGTAAATTCATTACAAGGAGTCGTTCAACACCGAGTGTTAGATAACGAGAGTCTTGAATTTCTTCTCAGGCGGAGAGAAGGGGGGAGGTGGGGGGAGGTGGGGGGAGGTGGGGGGAAGCTAGGATTGTGACAAGCAAATTGATGACTTGGGTTCAAACCTCCTTTCAGTTGACCCACTTTATCTGAGCAAAATTCTTATTCCCAACCCCCTCAAATGAACAGCCTGAGACACAAGAAAGCTTCTTGTGTAAGGAAAAAAGTCAGCTTAGCATTGGGAACACACAAAATACACCCACAAAATACACAGTCACTACACTTTACAGTGTGTTCTGTGAAGTGCTTTGAGACGTCTCAACGAAGTGATAAGGTGTTGTGCCATATGCAAGGATTATTATTGATATAACTTATGGAATTATCTTGTGTGAGTAGTGCAAAAATAAATTGAGTGAATGATTTCTCTGAAGAAAAATATCTTAGTGCAGTGGTACAAAAGTTTGGATCAGATTTCTCTCCCCATTCCTCAGTAAATCCCATTTAATATTTTGAAAATGTATAATGATAATAATATAATAATCATCATCATCATAATCCTTGCATTTGATACAGAGTCTTATCGGGTCATCTAGTCATCTCAAAGCGCTTCACAGGATGTACTGTAAAGTGTAGTGACTGTGTATTTTGTGGGTGAAACGCGGCAGCCAGTCGTGGATTGAGTGACCACATTTTTTTTTGGGGGGGTGGGGGAAGGAGGGATTATTGCATACATGCGCACACACATTGTGTTACTAGTGCTGTTCATATCATTGTTTTTCCCCCACCCACCCCCCGAGCAGTTGAATGAGAACAGTCTCACACACAAGTTGTCTGTTGTCCGTTCTGAACAAATACAGTCTCGCTCACTCATTCCTTGCGATTCAACAACAACAACAACAATTTGCACTTATCCAGCGCCCTCCACGCAGGGAGCGTCTCAGAGCGCTTAACAGTGGCGGAGCCTGACTCTGAGCCGGGGCGGGGGGGGGGAGGTGTAAGCACGAAATGGAAAGTTCTCTGGCGGGAATTGAAAGAGGGGAGGGGGGAGGCAAGGCGGAGGGATTGAGGGAGCGCGTTCCAGAGTTTCGGGGCGTAGTTGCTAAAAGTGCGACCTCTGATGGTGGGGTGAAGGGCGCAAGGGACGAGCAGGGGACGGTGCCAGTCGAGCGGGGGCAGATTGGGGAGTGATCTGAAACTGGGTCATTCTCTTTCTCTCTCCATCTCTTTCTGCCCATCTTGTTCCCAAGAATACTATATTTTTTATATATATATACACACACAAAGCATCGATGCATCTGAGATTGGTACATTTCAATGTAGGGTTGGCCTGAGAACTGCAGCAGCTTTTATTAATAATAATAATAATCCTTGCATTTGATATAGAGATGTCTTAAAGCGCTTCATGGGATATATTGTAAGTGGAGTGACTGTGTATTTCGTGGGCGAAACGCTGCAGGCAATTACGCTCAGGATATTCACATTTTGGTTTTATTGCGCACACACACGCACACACAGACTCTCAATGTGCAACACAGTCCAGGGATTTCTGTGAGATTATTCGGATGGAATTGAGGTGTGTGTGTGTGTGTGTCTCTCTCTCTCCCTCTCTCTCTGTGTGTATGAGCAACTGAACAGCAGACTAAAGTAGGGTGACCATA